TTTTTATTTCCACACTTTATATTTAGTTTTTAATCGGCACGCTTTTTGTTTCGTTTTAATTTGTATTGTTTGATGTTTAGTTTTTTTTTTTTTTTTGCACAGATTTATTTTGTGTATATGTATGCGCACAATTTTCAACTTCTTTTGCACACTAAACTTGACCGACCGCACTTAGTTTACACGACCGCCGCCAACCGCTTATGATTTAAAACTGACAAGAGCTGACCGAATAGAGTTTTCGGTTGATGAGAAGGGTGCGTTCAGTGAACGTGTTTGTACTCTAAGTAGAGGGTTGCCGATTCCTTCGAACGGATCGTAAGGACAATGTTCGAGTACTTACGTCCACTTGTTGCGTACGTGCAGAGTGCACTTGCATAAAACGTATGCATGTAAATGCGTAACGAAAAGAGATATAATTTGCTTTACAATCTATGAATCTCAAGTGTTTATTATCCAATATGTTTGATTACAATGAAAATTCTAATTCAAGGTGCCAGAGGGGCGGATTTGAAAGTTAACGATGTGAAAGCGGTGGCGGTCAGTAGAAGACTAAAAAACTTAGGCTGGCGCGCTCGAGTCTCCCCGTACCGTCGCTTTACAATTCAAAAATCGGAAAAACACGCCACCCAAATTTACGATATACAAGTTAATATGTTCAAGGTTGCAAAGATAAGGAGTACATATTCTAAAAATGTTTACAATTCATTTGGTAGGTAATCCATCTTCAAATTTGAAAAATACAAAATTTAAAAAGCAAACGCGCGCAGCTGTCCCTCGTCTACAAATCTATCAGATTTATGCCCATGTTCTCAACAGACTAGCCTTTGGGAATTTTGGTAACCTCTCATACGAGGTTTTGCATTTTCTTGGGAACGACGTTATGTACTTATGTTTTAGGATTTTTTGCTGAAGTGGTTGCGGTTTTCTTCCATCTACAAGTAAATTATGTTTATTCGTTATATGAAAGCAAATGCGACAAGAAAAATTCAAAAAAAAATCAACAGTAATTTTTGGCCATTTAAAACTTTATTATGCTAAAATTGAAGGAGCTGAAATTCCCCACAAAAAACGGTCCATTCCCCGATTCCCCACGTAAACTGAAATTCCCAGCAAATCGGAGAATTCCCCACGAATTGGCTCCCCTGGTTCACACGATCTCGTCAGTGATAAGTCAGTCGACTCGAAACAATCGAAAAACATCTCGATTGTACAGTCGGGCAGCGAGTCGATTATTGACTCGATTGTAATTTTGCATCGATAGCGATTCTCTCGATCGTTTAAACATCTCGGACTCGCCCATCACTATTTTAAACGACGAAAAATTCACTTTCAGAACTCTAAAATTTCCCCCCTAAATATCCCAAAATTTTGACGTGATACGGATTTTCTGAAAACACCATCGTAATCTGGAGGCCAAAATTAAGTTTACGTGTTTGGCCGTTTAGCTATGCTATTTTAAAACCTTAAAATTTACCTACAGTGTTATTAGTGGAAAATAAACAAAAGGTAGGTAGAAAGCTGCTGCAATATTGCATATACAGTGTCGGACAAAACATTTGCAACTGGAGCAAAGTCTTCGATATTTTGTGTCTCACAAAGCCATTTTTTTCTCAAATAGTTTTTGTTGCTTGTTTTGGAAGCTAGATATTTTTTCTACTTCGGTTCTATTTAAGAAAAATTTGTACATGTTTGGCGACTGTGCGACAAAACAATTGCAACTTGGTTTGCTTAGCTGTATAACGGTAAAAATGCTTAAACTTTGTTTCGTTTTATAACTGTACTTAGTTAACTTTGATCGAGACATTTGCTGAGTATCATATGTGCAGAGATATTTCTTGCGACAACACCGTTTATTTGCGAAATATCATAAAGTAAATTATGGCTCCAAACAAATTCTGTGAAGCACTACGCGCGCGTGTTATTGAAGTTTATAATAACGGAACTTCTCAGAAAGACATTTCCATAAAATTTAATATTCATAAATCATCAGCTTCGCGAATTATTTCGAACTTTATAAAAAACAAAACAGCCGCAGTAATACATCGTGGAGGCCGACCAAAAAAAACTGACCATAAAACTGACATTGCGATTGTGAGAGATGTAAAGAAATTTCCGTTTAAAAGTGCTCCACAATTGGTAAAAGAGCTTGGGCTACCAATCTCTTCAAGAACTGTCACTAGTCGCCTGGCTGCCGCAGATTTGCGTACTTGCCGACCCGCAAGGAAACCACTTATTAGTACATGTAATCAGCAAAAACGATTGCAGTTCGCTACTGATCACATAAACTGGCCGGTAAGCAAGTGGAAAACTGTACTTTTCAGCGACGAGTCTAAATTTGATCTGGTAGGTGATGGTGTGTGCTACATTCGACGTCCACGAAACAAACGTCTTCAAAAATCATACTGTGTCAAACCAGTCAAACATAGTGGCTATGTTATGGTCTGGAGATGCTTTTCCGCTTCTGGTTTGGGGCCGCTTCATCGTATTAATGGTACAGTGGATAAGTATGTTTACAGAGACATTATGGAATCTGTAATGCTGCCACTTGCCGAGTGGGAAATGTCACTAAAGTGGGTCTGCCAACAGGACAATGACCCCAAGCATACGGCAAAGGTCCTAAAATCGTGGTTCGAGAGGAATAAAGTGGACGCAATGGAGTGGCCCCCGAAATCCTCAGACCTTAACCCTATAGAAAACTTATGTGTATATGAAAAAGGGGATTGATCGCAGTAATGTAGCAAATGCTGACCAATTTTTCCAAAGAGTCCTGGATGCGTGGAAAAATATACCTCAGACCATAACAGACGATAACTTGATAGCGTCAATGCCGAGGCGGTGCAAGGCAGTTATTTATAGCCATGGATTTGCCACGAAATATTAAGTTTTTCGGTGTTGGTTGATTTTTCCGACAGGGAGGTAAGATGATTTATTTTGGAACGAATTTCCGTCATCCAAACTTTACAAAGGATGACGGAAATTCGTTCCAGAATAAATTAAGTTTTTCTTTTATCTTACTCAAAATAATGTACCGCTTTCTTTGGGTTGCAATTTTTTGGTGTAGCATTTTTTTATTTACATTTAAGAAAATAAGTGCGAAATTTGAATAATCGTTTTTGTTTAAAAAACTTATATATAATATATATAAACTTCCATTGTTTCAAATAAAATAATATGAAAAGGTTTCAGGCATGTAACTGCTTTGTAATCGGCAGTATTCGCATTATTATATTTCAGTTGCAAATGTTTTGTCCGATACTGTACATACTTGAGGCTAAAAAGGCTCACAAGTAAAATTGTTCCGTCTTTGCAAGGTCGTAGTAAAACCAATGCTAAGTTATAAGTTGATTATTGCTGCAAAATTTTTGCTCATTCTGCGCTACTTTTCAGTAAATAACTATGCCCTTGTATATGTATATAAGTATATGCATATGGCAAATCTAAAAAATAGGTACACTCTCCAAAAAAAAAATTTATTTTTAAACTTGTGAGCACACATATGTTTTATATATCATTTTATTCGTAATCTCTTAGTAAATCGATTAATATAAGTGTAATTCATTTTCATCAAGTGTTTCAAAAGTTAGACGAGGAATAAACATGAAATAGAAGACAAAAGAATAAACTGGGTTCAAATTACGTTGTTCAAGTTGTAAGTTTTGAGCAAAGATTTTGAAAGTGGAACTCACTTAATGGGG